TTTTAATATATATTAACAGTTGCAAATCATTTGTAATGGTGCACAAACATTCAGTTTCGTTACAACTTTGTAAAATTTTACCACTTTTTCACTGCTTATATATAGCTGTTTACAAAAGTTGCAAAGTTTTTATGAAAACGTAAAGCGATTTTAACGGTGTTATAATCAAAAGAAAGGTAATCGGTTTACCTTTCTTTTGATATATATTAAGAGTTGCAAATCATTTATGGTGGTTCAGAAAAATTAAGTTTTCTTACAACTTTGCAAAATTTGACAAGTCGGAACTACACTTTGAAGGTGCTCCTGGCGTTGAAGGTGCTGAGGGCGGAAGGTACCCATGGTGCTCCTGGCGACGAAGGAGCTGAAGAAAGAAGGTACTGGTTGTGCTCCTGGCGATGAAGAAGCTGAGGGCAGAAGGTTTTAGGGCCGGTTTCTCCATCTCTGGTTAACACTAACTCGCCGGTTAGACATTGTTATCGACGTTCTAACTCCATGCATATAACAGGGAGTCGATAAGGTCGGTAACGATGTTTACCGGGGGATTAGTGTTAACCGGAGATAGAGAAACCGGCCCTAAATGGTGCTCCTGGCGATGAAGATGCAAGCGTTGAAGGTGCTGATGGTGAATCCCAAACCTGTAAACAAACAAAAATATCAATTCAAATTTATAAACCTATAAAAAGTCTCAATATTACAGAAATTACGTTATAATTAAATAAAATTGTTAAATACGTATCCTTACCTTCAAAATTTTCGCAAAGTGACATTTCTTCACAGTATGTATACTGTCATCAAAACTCCGATGTTTCTAACTTGCTCGCTCTGACGCATAGAATTCTTATTAGAGTACGAATTCTTATCGGGTATGTAGCTCTAACAAAGGGACATTTTTTTGACAGTTCGAACAAAAAATGTGTAAGTGTGTGGGTGAGATGACTAAAAAGTTGTGAATGTGTTTGTAAATCGTTTGAATTTCAGGGGAAAGTGGTGAGCCGTGGCTGGCAGGGTATGTTGTTTGCACACACCTACATAGTAGGGGTCTTCATCTAAAGTGGTAAAGGGATAAATTGTTTATCCGCATTCTTTCATGAACGCACCTTGGTAAATAATTGCACAAACTGGTTTAATATTTAACTTATCTGGCTAGTTACGTTTCATTCTTACCTCGTCCACTTTGCTTTTTGTGTTCGTAGCAAAATCAACCACCTGGCAGTCTGTCAGGGTTGAATTTCGCTGAAATTTATACGTTTATCCATTAAAATCGTTTGATAAAGTTATAAATTTGGTTAAATAGATGTCCATGCAAAGTTTGGCTGTTCATTTATGAAAATGATAATTTTATCAGGTTTATCAACAGTTTATCACTTTTGATGAAGACCCCTAGTATGTACCTGAAATGACATTTGAATAATACGAGAGTCATTAAAAAGCCGCGAAAAATTATTAGAATTCCGCCCAAAATTGGTGCTTCAAGTTAATTTATACGGGCTCATTGCTATGGATAATTGAACAAAAAATGCACAATTTGGTTTTTATTTTGTATAATATGTGTTTCCAAAAAACTTTTAAATTAGGCTCGTTATAAGACATAGGCCAGTTACACCTGTCGAGGTTGAGGAGAGTAGCCGCAACAGTGGAACCCTCATCAAGGAAACCAAGTGAGAATATTTGGAATGAATGTATTAATATTACTTACATATGTATGTATTTGTTTTATAATATACATAATACATAATATATATGGTCGGCTAAAGACTACTTTAAATTAATACATACTCAGATAGTACATATATCAATACCTCGTATATGTGGAATCCAATACCACGTCATGTATGTACAATACAAAAGGGATTTGATATTAATTTAAGTTAAGATTAATAATAATAATCTTACAGCAAGTAGGTTCAAGGGAAATACCATTCCACAGTTTTGAAAAAATCGGTTTTTTGTGCTTTTGTAAAATTTATTTACCACCGTATACGCGGTACTGCGTTTGGCGTATACGAGGTATTTCGCGCTGAGCGACGATATAGTTCAATACAGTCCAGTTTTTAATTGTTTAATCTTAATTATACAATATATACAATGTGGTTGTTCACGCCAATTAGGTATTTCATCGATTCTTACAAAGAAGTTGGAAACTGTGTACCTATGTACTTATTTAAAAACGTAATTTAGAGTCTGGTAATAATTACGAAGATATTAACATACATATGCCAATAATATAGGAAGCCTGATTTTCTAAAATATGTATTTGTCGTCGATTCCGCGAGCGAATTCAACGCGAATCCAAAATAAAACG